CAAATTCCGAACCTTTGAAGTTAAGGTGCTTCGAAGTTTATAGCTTTTAATTTTTCAAAGGATGATATTTCATTTGTGCGTTTTTGTTGTCGACAAATTTTTTAAACCTGTTGATTCGAATAGAGAGATCCGAAGACCTTTCTGTTCTATACACATTTATCGTACAACAAAAACGCACAAATGAAATAGCACTCAAAGCCTGAAAGCATCTAGAAAATTCAAAAATAATAGAGGTTATTTTCGAAAATTGGAATTCGTTCAAAGATTCGAAATTTCAAAGTTGTAAAAAATAACAGTATTTAATGAGTCCTAACACTATTTAATGAGCCTTAGTATTTAACATATCTTGAAAAGAACATGGATATGTGAATTTCTGTAATTTTTTACTTCAAAGATATTCGGAATTAATTTCAAAAATTCGAATTCTTTCAAAGCTTCGAATCTTTAAAGTCAAAAGTAACAGCCCTAGCATTTAACACGTCTTGAAAAGAATTTGGATGTTCGAATTTCTGTAATTTTCTATTTTAAAGGTGTTAATTTCAAAAATTTGAATTCTTTTAAAGCTTCAAATCTTCGAAATCAAAAGTAACAGCCCTCATATTTTATACGTCTCGAAAAAAACTTGAACGTGTGAATTTTGAAATATTCTACTTCAAAGAGATTCAGACTTAATTTCAAAAATACGAATTCTTTTAAAGCTTCATAGTCAAAAAATAACAGTCTTAAATACCAAATATAGATACGTTTCGCCAGCTGTAGTGACTGAATGAAGAGTAATTCACTTGGCGCAAACACACGACACACTCGTACACACACACACACACACACACGTGCGCGCGCGCGCGCGCGCATAACGCATCATCTACGTGCGCAGAATAGCGACGAAAAAAAAGAAAAAAAGAAAATCCACACATCATTGATGATATGTATCACAGATCAGCGATCATAATTACACAGAACAACAATCTCGGCGTCGCGAGGCGAGGGAAAAAAAAAAGAGAATTAAACGTGAAAGGATCGAGCGGGACTTGTTTGGCCAAGAGAAGACGCCGCGTGAAGTTGCCACCGGAAAGATACGCGAGTTTTTCATTCGACGTCGCGAGATATCTTACCGTCCCATGGAAGAGCGGTTCCGCTTAACACGAGGAGGCGGGGTATCACGACTCGAGCTCCTCTTCATGTTGTTGCGGATCTTGACTGTGATTTTGTGCCGATCGTCCCGCGGAATCCCAATCATCAACGCTGCTTGCTGCTTGCACCGCAGCTCGACGTGGAACAAGAGAAAAGAATGTGACACGCGGGACAGGGATGTGAAAGGAGGAGGAGGAGGAGGAAGAGAGACGAGTGAGAGCAAAATCCGTCCAAGGCTTTGCTAAAAAACCGTTCTTTTTCCTCGGAGAAACGACTATCTCTCCGCTGCACGTTGTAACTCGCCTGTTTGCGATGCTAAGAGCGAACGAAATGGCGCCCAATCGCGCCTATTGTTACCGTCACCGTCGTCGTCGTCGTCGCCGTCCCTGGCGCCACCGTCGCCGCGCGTGCATCCGGTCGTCGACGACTTCCGAGCGCGCGATTTGACAATTCGTTTCGATCTGAAAAAAAGGAAAGAAAAGCACGTGGCCCAGAGTTGGGCAAAATACATAATTAAAATATTTGAGATACAAAATACCTTTAAATGTTTTATTTGAAATATAAAACACTTTTTCTGTCTCTTTATTATAATAATATATAATGTTAAACTTTTTCAATAAAGCTAAGCGCTACGACATTACGAGGAAACTTTATTTCGCTTGCATTAGAGTTTCTAGAAGAGGCAGTTATTCTTATTTCTTTCTAACGTTCACTCTTTAATTAGAGACATAAATACATCATTAAAGTACTTAAAATAGAAAATAGAAAATACTGTTAATCTTAGTATTTGAAATATAAAATACAAAATACTTTTATGTGCTTTGAAATACAAGATACAAACTTTCTTTCAAATATTATATTTCAAATAAAAGTATTTAAATTGTGCCCAACGCTGACGAGGTCTTATAAGAACAAAATGTTTCTTTTCTTATTTTTATATTTTTGTTTTTTGACAATTTTAATTTACATCGCCACTAAAATTAAAAAGCCGCTTTCGGCAATATTGTTAAAAATGAATAAAATTTACGTTAATTATATTTCTAGTGTATATCTATTTTTAAAATATGATTTTCATCGTATTTCTCGCATTAATTTTGCTGATAACAATCGAATAAATATTCGTATATCTGTGAAACAAATTTTTCTTACGCAATAGTTATGAATTCATCCATTGTTGAAAGAAAAATCGTGAAAAGAATTTATTTCGCTACACAAATTATTTCGATATAAAAGTTATTAGTTTATTATTAGCAAAATTTAATGTGAGAAACATATTAAATTTTAAAGACACAGTTTAGAAGATATAATTTACGTCAATTTTATATATTTTTAATAATATTGTCGAAGTGGCCTTTTAATTTACAGCAGCAATGCAAAGAAAAACAGGATGTCCAGCGATAGCTGATCAATTAAAAAACAATTTCAGGACATTCTAGGTAAAAATCCTGGTTCTTCCAGGTCAATTAATTTTCATTAGTCAATTAATTTTTATTGATTCGCGCAAAATATATGAATAGACTTCCAAAATGCATTTTATCTAAAATTTCATTTTTTGAGTTAGAGATGGCATAGTGTTCAGTATTGAAAGATTCATATTTAAGCTACTAAGATTTACTGAAAGCATTTTTTCACCGTCAATTTATATGCTGAAAAAAGTCTAAACATACGAAGTGCACTATGTCGTTTAAGTAGAAACAAACAAAAATGCATTTGTTTAATATTATTAGAAACAGTTCAGTAATTTTGTTTAACATTTTACATCGTACTGATCGACAAATTGTTATTTTCTATAAGGCGCGTAGTTTCCTTGCGACTTTCCTTCATGTTTCCAAAAAATTATAAATTTTCGACAAAATGCATTTTGAAAGTCTGCTCCTCATATGTTTTGTATTCAAGTTAAAATCCTATGTGATGAATTTTAATTAAAACGCAAATAAATTTGGAACAATATTATTTAATGCTTTATAAATAATAAACGAACATTCAACATAAACGATAATCTCTCTGCTATATTCTATTTTATAATTGTAGACATTAATTCAAAGTTTTCTATTAGTAACTTACATTATTGCATCTTTAAGCGAGGGCTTATATACCCGAGCAATACTTTTCTTTTTATTAACATGTCACAAATATTACTTTATAAAATTATTAATTTATTGGCGCTTCATTAAATCATTAATCTAATTTTCAATGTCCGCAGTTGCTTTTAAAGCTTCGTTCTAATTAAAATAATCACAAAATTCATCATTACATATTTCTTGTGCACGCGCGGAAAATATTTCTTATTTCTTTCTTTTTTCATAATCCAATTTTTTTTCAACGAAAGAACGACAAAAATTTCAAGTCAGTCCTGAAATTGTAGAAGTTTTTTAAGATACATTAAATTCCAGGATAGTTCCAGGATTCAAAGACATTCAAGGATAGCTGGACACTCTGAAAAAAAAGAAAAGAATTGATGAGTAAGAATAGTCGATGGATGATCGAAATAATGCTCAACAAGTCAAAAGTTCTAAAATATTCGAATTTTATTAATCGTTGCAATTAAACTTTCGTATAATTTATTATAATCAAATTTTCAAAATGTTCTACATTCGATATATGTAGACTAGAAAAATAATATTATTTGTACGTATGTACACAAGATTAAATTCGCAAATTTCTACAAAAAAATACTTGTACAACGAGAAAATACTGTAGAACCATACACCACTATTTTAATAGAGTATTGATAATAGGTAATCGCGTGCTTATAAAATATTTGGTAACATAGAATAACTTAAAGATAGTTTCTATACCTATGTAAAACAATCCATAGCAGCTGCCAATTTATAATCATGTTTAGTTCGTTTGTCATGATGCTTTAGAGTAAAATATTTGAGAATGTTACTATTGGAAACAGACAATCTTAATTCATTTTCAGGATCATAATCACATGTATTCGATTGATAGTTTCTTTTACTTTAGTACACTAGATATTCATAAATTAATGTCTCTTGTGGGATAAATTAGTGTAGTACATCATTTTACGAAAGATAAGGCAAAGAGAAATTGAAAATTTGACAAACAAACGAGTACATACAAGCAAAGTCTAAGATCCGTATTCAGAATGCGCTTTTATTGATAAAAGCGCGCTTTTATTTTTGAAAATTTATAACATGCGTAACGTAAAGTATAGTATGTTAGCGCGCTAACATCGTTCTGAATACGGGCCTAAATATATTTACAGATATTTATATCTTATCTAATTAATAATATATAAAATATAACATAATTATATAATATCAAAATATGTAATATATTATATAATTATTACATATTATATAATATGTAACATAATTAATTGTATATTATATATTGTATATTGTATGTAATATTATATAATATATGTAACGCACATATTATATTATTGAATATATTATTTTATAATAGAAAGTTTGATTAACGTTTAATATAATTTAGTGTAATTAGAATTGATCTCGTAATTATTGTTCGATTACAAGTGTGTTTGGGGAAACGCCATTAACACTATTTGTATCATTCTATCCTCGTTTTGCATCTAATAAATAATAAGGATAAAATGACACAGCGTCTCCCAGAAAGCACTTTTTATGATATATTTTTATGATATATTTTATTTAGAATAATTAATATTTAAAAAGTGAGAAAAGTTTGCACGCAATACCAAAAATTTTATATTTTCAAAAGAGATATATTCAGAATAACATGTTTTTAAATATTAATAATTTCATCATACAAAAATAAGATTATATATATATATATATGCTAAAATAGGAAGTAAAATAAATATTGAAATAAAGCTTTATTGTAATATTACAGATATTAAGCATTTGTGTAAAAGATGGCTAATTATATCGCTAATTAAAATTGGCAGTTGCTATGTGTATAATTTATACTTAAAGTCATTGGCGTGATGATAAAAGTTAAAACTCGTAACAAGAAAACGAGGTGACTAATTACAATCTTATATTGGATAATTATTATTGAACAGTCTTAAAAGTTGCATTGAGGTCACTCGATGAATTGTTTACATTCATCTAGCTTACATAACAAGAGCAGCAACTACAAAATAATCGTCAGAGCTGTTACTCATGTTTTATCGTCTTATACAGACTCTTTTATTTTAATTACGACTCATCACTATCAATGTGAACCGCTTCTGTGGCTACCTCAGGAAGAGGCGGAGGAGGAAGAGGAAGTATGGAATTATTACCGTCCGATGATGTTGACGTTTGTGCTTCTTTGTCCGTTGGCGATTTTGAATTCTTATCATCTATTTGCGCTGGACATTCCAAGTGAACGCAATGAAACACCTACAAACATTCTGATTTCATTTATCTGTTACATTCCATAAAAAACATATCGAAATAAATAATCTGATTAGATACAAACCTCATTTGCAGTATTGTGAACACCCACTATTTTTATAAAAACTACTGGACGGGGCGGAAAACGTATCGTCTGCCAAGATTTACAGGTTTCCTCGCTTTTATCAGCGACTGATACCCAATTCCAGGAATTGCCTGACACTTCTATGTAATATGAGTAGGAACGATCATCACAATCCCAAAGTAGTAATCTGTTGAAAATAGTTAGAGAGTTAGTGAGTTAATTACAGTGACATGATACATAAGCACACAAGTATATAGGAATCATACCGCATTGATCCTATCATATATGGTTGGCCTAATTGTATTAGAATAGATCCCGAACCAAGTTGATGGCACGTATAACCACTATCCCAATCGTAATTAGATGTGTCTCCATTTAATAAATTATTACGTGACCTAAGATTTAAAAAGTAAAGTTTGAAAAAGATAAATATTTATATATATGTATGTGTGTATGCGCGCGCGCGCGCGCGTGTGTGTATTAGATATGATTTTATAGTAAAGATAATAAAATTTACTTACCTACTCACACCTTCAATGACACACGCGCTTCGCATGGTAGTAGCAATGTTTTTGGTGGGTACAATGAAGCCTTGTGAAATTTTTTCTGTATGATTTGTATAATATGCTTCAAAGTCAACAAGATGAAAAACCTTTTGAAATATAGGAACAAATATTTTAATATAGAATTAATAAATCAAATTAATCTACATATATGTGCGTGTGCGCGTGTGTACACATACAATGTAATATCTATTAAAATATTGATAGTCTAGAAAACTCACCTTATTTACTGTATTATTTGTTCCTACAATACGAATATAAAGCACTACCCTTGGTTCAAAATATAAATACTGCCAACTACGACAATAGTAATCTTTGTAATTGACAAGCATAACCCAATCCTTTTGATTCATAGATCCCTTTAATAAAATATATTAAAATAGTAAGATAAAAAAGATCTGTCTATATATTTGTATAATATACGTAATATTTATTATATTATTGTTGCAAAATATTCGTACCTCTATATAATAAGAATAAGATCGCAAATCTAAATCCCATAGTAACATTTTTATATGATTTATAATATACTGTGATCCTAATTTAATAAGAATTCCATACTCTTCTGTATTAGATATAGTATGCCTTGTGTAACCACGTTCCATATCATAATTGTGAACATCACCGTTAAGTAGATAGCTACGCATTTCTCCTTGTAATACTTGAGCATCAAGAGACGAATCAGCAACATTTTCGTCGATGAGCAAATGGCCACGATACGGAAGTTCCGAATCAGGTGTTTGTGTCTGTACAGCAATTGCATCCAATAGTGCGTCTGGTGATATTAATTGAGATGGTCTTACTACACTTAGAAGATCTGACAGCGGAATCAGACTCAATCTGAGTTGAGCTGTAAAAATCATTCATGTTTAAATAGTTTCATATTTTGAAAAAGAAATACTATTGCTTAATCATCGAATTATATGAAAATTACTTAGCACTTCGGTTGAATCAACATCGGGATTGTTATTAACCCACGATCGTATAGCTGAAAAAATTTCTATTTCCGGCGCACAGAAAGAATCTCTGGAGATCAATTCAGTTAGAGCAGCTGAACTCAAATGTAGAAAACTCTCATGTTGTACAACTTCGGATGCATGCACGTCCATGTATTCGAAGCAAACCTGAAATTGAATCACAAATACTAATTAATAAATTATCATAGATTTTAATTACATATATAAGTTACAATATATACATTAGGTGGAAGTTACAAAATAGGATATATACATATATAATAGGACATATACAATACTAACGTTAGTTAGAAATTCCATATGATATAAAAATGCAGTATCCAGAATTGAACATATATTCTTTATGCTTAATATCTCTTTAAGGTAATCAGATATAGCTGATTCTAAATCCATAAATCCATATAAATGCGCTAAAGCTAGGATATCAAGAATGACCTGTAACAAAGAAAATCAAAGCAAAATAAAAAATACATCATTTTACGTCCTTAAATAATGAATTTAGTCATTTGTATTATACTAGATCAGTGTGCTTTAAAAAAACTGTTTTATCCAAATGCATAATTGATTTTATATTTGTATTATTTGAGATTAAAGTTAATCTTACATTGATGACACCAGGTCTTGTGCCTTTTCTATCAATGAATATTAACTTTAATTTTGGTTTAACATACTTTTTATCTTTTCTTAGTTCTCAAAATAAGAAAACAATAAAGAATAATTGAAACTGAGATTAAAGTTAATCTATATTGGTAAAAAAGAAACATTAATCTTCATTAATCCAGTAATTGCTTTCTAATTACTTCAAAAACTTAAATAATTCTCATTTGACGTCATAACTCAGTTGAATGTGCATTCCTTTTCACTGTGACAAATAAAATTCAACTGAGTTTTTATTTATAATCTATATAAACCAAAAAACTGTGTGCTTACTGAATTGTTAATTCAAACTCACATTAAAAATGAGATTATAACCCTGTATTATTACACCATAACTTTGTCGTCAAAGAAAGCAAGTAATAACGCTATTATCTCAGTATAAAATATACAAATTCAGACTCAGTATCACTTATGTAAAACTAGAAAGCATGTAAAACTAGTGTAATGCAAGTAACTGAATTCGCTAAAAGATGATTCAAAAGAGCATTACCTCATCCCGCTCGTTAGTGAGAGACATACGGCCGGTATAAATGTACTTGAGCAAGCCTTTGAAAGCGTGCAACGATGATACAGTTAATTCTATTTCACTCTGGGTCGACTCCTTCATGCCTCCGAACAACAGAGCACGAAAGTATTCACTACGTGCGGCAAGAATAAGCTTGTGGCAACGGAACTTTTGACCTGCCACTACTAAAGTTACGTCTGCATACTCCTCAGACAGGTACAATGCCTCGATATCCTCAGAGACAAAGTGAATGTGATTTATCTCACCGGACGACGAATTCAGATGATGATTTGAACTCATTTTCGTTGAGCACGCTTGGTACACTCGTGCCAAACTTCCCAGGTCCTGCCGTCAAAACAGGTTACAATTGTCACAACATCAGCGACTTGCTACTCGCGCGTGACTGCGTTGTTGTAACCAACAACGAGATTCCGCTCAACAACTCTTCACAGAATTTGCAGCAGCCGCACGTGTCGATCGCATTTAGTTTAGCAGCGATACGACGTGAGAGAATAATGAGAAAGAAGCAAAACTCTTCTTTAATGCATAAGCGGAACACATATGTGTGCAAAAGTAATGTTGATCGATGAAATTGGCGAGAATACAAACGTGTCACGTAAAAATTATTACATCTCGCACGATCTGATGTTTTGTCGAGCGAATACAACCACCTTGTGTTACGAATCACTCCGTTTTATTCTCATAAGACGCGTAAATGAAAGGAATTCCAGCAATTTTCACCGCCACTATTTTCTGCTATTGTCACTATCGATCGAATTTTTTAAAGCCCATGTCACCGACGAGATACGTTAAAGATCGTCAACCTTGAGTAAATTTTCATAACTATCAAAAGGACCTCCGAGGGCTCGGTGGTAATTGAAGGGCGTTGATATTATCAACTGCTTCGGCTGTACCGACATAACACTCGATCGATTATCGATAGTACAGATTTTTTGAATTCCAAATAAAAAGTCGATAATAGTGACATCTTAAATTGATTCCTTACATTATCGTTCTGTTTCACTCGCAAACGCATACATCTGTTCTTATCTAAATTAAAGCTCTAGATATATTTAAAAAAATAGCGTTCTCCGTTTTAGACTTAGACTTTTAGGCTTTAATCATACCAATAATACTAAGCGCTTATTGGACTACAGACAATTAATTACAAATGGTAATCGAAACAGCCAATAGGAAAGTTGCCGGTATTTCGACTCAGATAAAAGAAATGCGCTACTTTGGTATCTAGAGCTTTATTATTTAATATATTGCATCATCTCCTATAAGACCGAACACTTACTGCTAGACACAATTATTACTTTGACTACGGTCGATTTGGACGCTCTCGCTCTTTAAGCGCTTGTAGTCATCATTCTGTCTTTATCGTTCATTAAATGTAAAATAAGAATAGAAGTACTGAAAAGCGCTGAAAGCGGCCAAATCGAACGCAGCCTTTGTTTATCATTCTGAGCCTTTGCTCAACATTATATACACGCAGATCGATATAAATTAATTTAATAGAACTGTTTTATACTTTACGAAATTTTTTCAGAAATCTGAAAATGATGTAATTTTCTTTGCAAAATTAGTAAACCGCAAATAAAAATAGCACCTGACTCAGAATCAATAAGTGAAGAAAGATATACTATATATCGTCTAATGAAATAGATGATAAAATGAATGAAATAAAATATCATGGTCATCGTATTCTGATGTTTTTAAATTGGAATCAGAATTTAAAAAAGGTAACAATTTTGCTTTTTTATATTGTATAGGCAAAAAAATTTACTCAAATAAATCTTCATCAAATTCAAGAATACATATAAAAGTATGCTATTTATAATTTATATAATTTCTTAAAGTTAAAATGTTTTATATAAAAATATTAATATGTTAATAATAATATATGAATAAATAATATAGGTCATATTTCAATACACACTGCCAGCACTGAATCTATTTCAAAATCTATTGTATATTTG